CTGATCAAGAATATATATACTTTGTTATGTCTAAAATTATCATTTATGAAATTATCAATTATGAGTTACAAACGGAATGTCGAACTTAATATACCCTCCATATGTATGGTCGAGGCTATAGAAAGTACTTCACCAAGCCGGTGATGCCATGGTGTTGGTTTAGCTTTAGTTAACATGTTTTGGCTTCAACTGATGTCTGATGGTTCCGAACGGATGAGTTTTGTATTTTGGATGTTAGATGTTTTTCCTTTTAATTAATTACCATTTTATTTTGTATTTTATTTGTTGCTGGTTTTATTGTAATTTATGTTGTTGCTAAAAAAATTCACCAGAAGACTGCTGGCATTTTTTCGAAAAAAAATAATTAACATTTTTTGCATTGTTTTAAGGTTCACAAAAATGCCAACAACAAACCAACTCGTAAATGTACCTAAATTTTGAAGGTCATATAAATTTGTTTTTGCAGATGGTAATCTATTTTTACATATGAATGGCTATGATGCCACTCATCTATCTGAACATAGAACTGGAACTCATTTACATAATTAATATGAACCCAAAAATTTTTGTAGTTTATTATGGAAGAATTATTTCGATGGAAGGTTGTTGCCATTTTTTGGGTGGTATTCACTGGAGTAAGGAGGAGTTCATAGACATTTTGTTAGAATTTTTATGCTAGAATTCCTTTTTCGTAGTTTTTTTGTTATTTAGCGAAAAGCGTGTCTTTTTGTTATGCCACACCAGGAATACATATGTCATTACATCAGGGGGACTATAATTATGATTTTTTGGGATTTGAATGGAAAACTATTTTAATTTTCATAATCAGTTGTTATGTCTTTTTAAAAGATGCTATTAGAAAACTTCTGAAACGTAAAATTGATGGGGCATGTTTTTATAGTTCAGATAATAGGATTTTACACATGTGTACATACGTATATGATTGCTTAAGTCTGGAGTATTCCCCCACTTGTTTAAGTTTATATTACTCTCTATTACAAAGAGCAATGTTTTCAAAACGACAGCTTTACAATATTTGCAGTCCGCTAACAATATCATGATTTCATCCCGGCGAAGGGAACCGTCACTTGGCTTTTCCAGCTTTTAGATATGATGAGTTTGGTGAAAAACAAGCTCTATAAGTGTCGATCATTCAAATATGACTGAGAATCACACTCACTTCTTGCCTTTCCCAAAAATCATCATAATAAAATATTGCAAAGACTGCCAGCAGTCTTATATATTAAGTTCGTCATTCATTTGTAACTCATCGAAGTAATTATTTTAGACCCAACAAAGTATATATATATTCTTGATCAGCGTAAAATTCTAAGACGATTTCGCCCTGTCCGTTCGTCTGTTGTAATCACGCTACAGTCTAAACGAATTAAGATAGGAAGCTAGAATTTTCCACAGATCTCTCTTTTGTCTGCAGGAGGGTCAAGTTCGAATATGGGCTTTATCGGTCCACGATATCGTATAGCCCCCATATAACGGCACCCCCCATATTCGGTATTTTGATGATGTTAGCCACATTTTTCAATGGAATTGTCTGAAATTCCACACAAGGAGTTCCTTGTGAGTTCTTTACCCCTAAGGGAGAATTGTCTATATAGGTCCACGATATCGTATATCCCCCATATAACGTACCCCCCGATATTCGGTATTTTGATGATTTTACCCATATTTTTTAACGAAATTGTCTGAAAATCCACACAGGGATTTCCTTGTGGGTACTTTATACCTCGGATGAGTATTATCTATATAGGTCCACGATATAGTATAGCCCCCATATAACGGTACCCACCGATATTCGGCATTTTGATGATTTTAGCCACGTTTTCCAATGGAATGGTCTGAAAATCCTCACAAGGAGTTCCTAGTGAGTACTTTATCCTCTGGAAGAGAATTATCTATACAGGTCCACAATATCGTATAGCCCCCTTAAAACGGTACCTCCCGATATTCGTTATTTTGATGATTTTAGCCACGTTTTCCAATGGAATGGTCTGAAAATCCACACAAGGAGTTCCTAGGTAGTACTTTATCCTCTGGAAGAGAATTATCTATATAGGTCCACGATATCGTATAGCCCCCTTAAAACGGTACCCCCCGATATTCGTTATTTTGACGAATTTATCCACATTTTTCAATGGAATTGTCAGAGATTACACACAAGGAGTCCCTTGTGAGTACTATACCTCCTGAAAGAGAATTATCTAATTAGGTCCACGATATCGTATAGCCCCCTTAAAACGGTACCCCCCGATATTCGGTATTTTGATGATTTTAGCCACATTTTCCAATGGAATTGTCTGAAAATACACACAAGGAGTCCCTTGTGAGTACTATACCTCCAGACATAGAATTGTCTATATAGGACCGTGATATCGTATTTCCCCCATATAACGGCCCCTTCCGACATTCGGTATTTGCATGATTTTAGCCACATTTTCCAATGGAATTGTCTGAAAATGCACACAAAGAGTTCATTGTGAGTATTTTATCCCCTGGAAGAGAATTATCTATATAGGTCCACGATGTCGTAGTACCCCCGATATTCGGTATTTTGATGATTTTAGCCACATTTTTCAATGGAATTGCCTGAAATTCCACAAGGAATCGGTATTTTGATGATTTTATCCATATTTTTTAACGGAATTGTCTGAAAATCCACACAAGGATTTCCTTGTGGGTTCTTTATACCTCGGATGAAAATTTTCTACATAGGTCCACGATATCGTATAGCACCCATATAACGATAAACGCCGATATTCGGGATTTTGATGATTTTAGCCACATTTCCCAATGGAATTATCTGAAAATCCACACAAGGAGTTCCTTGTCAGTACTTTACCCCCAGACATAGATTTGTCTATATAGGTCCACAATATCGTATATCCCCCATATATATTGGCACCTTCCGATATTAGGTATTTTAAAGATTTTAACAGAATTTTACATTTACACAGTCACCTGTGTGTAAGTTTGTTGGCATTTTGGTGCAAACGCCCTTGCGCGTTATGTGTTTGTTTTGCTATTGTTGAAGATTCAATCAGTTGACTGCTTAAGTCTGGAATATTCCCCCATTGACTGACCTCAAAGTTTTTCAAAACGAAACTGAAAGCCTGCAACATTTGCTGATCACTACCAATATCATGATTTCATCCCGGCAAAGGGAAACTTTTTTATTATACCCTTAGCTATATGGCTACTTATACCATATGACTAGTTGATACATACCGTTTGATACTGTTTTATACCCTAGGTCTTTTGGACCAAATCCGTTTGAGGACATTTGGTGTCGATCTAACGATGTCCGCCTGTCTGGCTGCCTGGTGCACAAGACAACTCTCGAATGAAGTATCCGATGTGGTCCAAACTTGATACATCATAATATTATTTAAAGATGAGCAATATCGGTCCACTCTTTTGGAAAGGTCAAACTATTGAAATAAAATATTTTAATGCACAGAAAGATAAAGAATGATCCGATTTTACTCCAACATTGCAAATTCTAATATTTGCATAAACGCTAGGTCATATTCGAAAATGGGCTCCAACAAATACCTCCCCCACAAAAGGGTCAAATTTTTGAATAAATTTAACTCCTATAAAATGCGATTGTCTTTAAATTACACACATCACATTATATTTATAAACCCGAGGTCTGGTGTGAAGATGAAGATGGAACTTCTTCTGGTAGCTCCCCCAGAAACGTCCAAATTTTGAGTAACCAAAACAATTATAAAATTCGAAATACATAAGTATCCGGTTCGCTTCGTATTTCACACATCCCATTATTTCTACTAACACAAAATCTGCTTTGAAGATGCGATATATCAGACCACTCCGTCTGGTACCTCCCCCACAAAAGGTCAACATTTTGAATATCCGTAAATCTTACAAAACGCGAAATCCATATTCCCATCAACACAAGATCTGTCATAAAGATGGGAGAGATCGGACCATTTCTTTTGCCACCTGCCCCACAAAGGGTTCAAGATTTTGTAAACTAATCGCTCAAAGAAGCATCCAACTCTTTTCAAATTTCACACATACAAACATTTTTGTTAACACAAGAAAACCCACAAAGGTCTCAATTTTCAATACTTTTATCTGTCATAACTTGTGAAACAAGTCAGCGATTCTTTACAATTTGCTATATCTAAATATTTCTCTTCGCCAGAAACCTGAAATGAATATGGAATTTATCAAATTGTATATAAATGTTCGAAATTCTTGTAATTTTGCCATTATCAATATTTGTATCTGTATTAGGTGAAGTATGAAAATGGAATACTTCGGTCGACTATATCTGGTACATCACGCATAAAGTTATCACATATCTCACATAAAGAGAAGTAAGGCACGTCGCAATAATTATATCATATTTATTTAGGTCCGCTACGAAATTGACAATATTGCCCCATTACTTCGGAATCCACCCCATAAAGGGACAATATTTGAATGAACACAACACAAGTCAAAATATATTTAAATAATCGAGCATTTGCTGAGGGTATATGTAAAGAAATCACGAATAACTTTTTTCTGGAAAATTCTCACCAAAATGCTTTTGTACGCTTGTAAACAATATAATGAGCTATCACTGGAATAATTTTAGCTGTCGGACGAGTGTCATAGAAATGACAGCAGTCTGAAGTTGGTTGCAGTTTTTTATCTCACCCTGTACATCTGTCAGCTAAACCGACCGATACATTTTAACTGGTTTTAAACTACTACTATTTAGTCACCCCATTTTGCCATAATTGAAGATTTCCCATGGTGGAAGTTTAAACAGCTTGCTGTTGTTATGTTGTTTGGTATAGAAAAGATCAGACTATGATTGTGATAAATAGTTAAACCACTTAGCTTCATCAATTTCACTTCATCAAATTGCATAATTTCCCCTTTACACTTTGAAGCGGTTACATTTTAATTTTCAAAGTACCTGTCGATTTTGTAATCGATTTTCTTTTTTTTCTATTTCCTTGTAGACTGTTTTGAACGCATTGCTTTGGAGGCAATGATGCCATTTGAGAAGACGTTTCGCACCGAAGACACCAATTCGTTGAGAAGTTGCAAAGAGAAGTGTCTGCAGGAGGGTGACAAGTGTCAATCAATTTCATTTGGGTGAGTCTGGCATTTGGCGTAGCATCAAAATTACATCATTGACATTTTCTTTTGCAGAGTTCATCGGCGTGGAAACGGCACTTGCCAGCTGTCCAAGGAAAAATACGGAACATCAGGTGGCAGGCCGAATGGTGTGATATTTGATCCAGACTTTGATTTGTATGCACGCAAAACGAATTGCTTTGATTTGGATGAACCGAATGATAATCTGGCCGAGACGAATGGGTATGGTAGTAGTTTGGCCCCAACTACGCCAGTTTTTCTATCGAGCAGGCCATCACCGGCTACGCCACTGTTGGTGGTTGATCCCACACCTACGGTGTTGACAACAGTGGAGGAAGAAAATACCCGATATCCAACTGCGACAACAGGTTATAGCGAGACGACTCTGTATAATCGTGGTTCACCCACAATATTGGATTCTACTGTACCCACTACACCAGCCGCTCCAAATGGAGATCGTCTTTATTTTTCTCAGGACATTTATCCTTTGTTTAAATATCCCACCTTGTATGAACCAAACTATCCCGCCCCCAATCAAGATGTTTACATACCGGGTGGTTATGCTTCCAATGCCCCTGAGGTGGGAGACCGTCCAACGTCGTATGACGGCTCCAGGCCACCCTCAGTTTCACAAAGTGCAAGTGGTCCCCCCAAGCCTATTTTTGGTTTGGGTTATGGTAATGGCTATAGTTATGGCACTCCAGAATCTTACAATCCCAATACCATGAGACCCGAAGATTCGGGATATTCCTCCAACTCGCCAAGGCCCAATAGACCAAACTATGAGAGCTCGCATCGTGATCCCATGCGTTTGCCGGGTTATGATAATACCACACCAGGTTATTATGGAGATTCAAGGCCTTCAAACAATGATCCCAACTCTGCTACATCTCCCTATGGTCCCCGACCAGGAAATAGTGACTCAAGGCCAACAAATGGGGATCGTAATGGTCCAGCGTATGGCTCAAGACCTAATAATGATCGCAATGATGGTGGTCCCCCTTATGGTCCTCGTCCGGATAATGATCGCAATGGTGGTTCGCCTTATGGTCCGAGGCCGGAAAATGATCGTATTGGAGGCGGGTCATACAGCCCACGACCAGGAAATGATCGTCGGCCATCACCTGGATACGCTCCACGACCGGAGAATAATGGTCATAGCTCCTCGCCCCCACCATATGGTTCGCGACCATCTTCGTCACAGCCTGGAGATTTTGTCGATTACACAAATCGTCCAGATCCACCGGTTGGTGGCGCTGCAAGACCCTCCACCTCTGCACCTTATGGTCCTAACAATGACAATAATTATGTGCGACGTAATGGCACCGCTGCCAGTCGTCCTCCGAATGGCTATCATGATGACAAGAAAATCAATACCTATTTCAATCCTGATGACTATCTGCCGGGAAATAAAAGTGAGTTGGAAATTATTTTATGGAAGATAAATTGATAATGACTTTTCGAATTTACAGAACGTCCTGGTTCCTATGAGGATAGTGATCGTTTTGACCTCAATCGTACACCAATGAAAGGTAAGATTTGTTGTGAATTTTTTTTAGAACACCATTGTAGCTGTAATTTAATGGTTCCATTTTGGTTATTCACTTCATCAATGCCTACGGAGCTCTTTTGGTTGGGATAGCTTTTGCTCATATTCCATCCATCAATCGCTTTATGCAAAAAAGTGTATATTCTGATTTTGTTTGAAATGAGGAGGGAAACCCTTTCGCCGAGACCAAAGATGATTATAAACTCATGAAATTTAAAATGAGTGGGAGATAAGAATAAATTTTTGAAATTCGATTATTATGTGTATCAAAAGAAAAAATGAATTCTGTGCACGTTTTTCAAATTTTTATTTAATTGAATGACAATTAAAATTTTTACTTTTTTGTTTTTTGCCTCAAGGCCATATTTATTGATTAGAAATCTTAAAACTATACAGCATGACTTACTGCTAAACAACTATTAAATAAACGTATGGCTATTCGCTAAATACTAAAGTATGGGTATTATTATACGCTGCAGAAAAATTGCATGCGACTGTCGTATTCTCTTAAATCTATATTATCATTCATAAAATACCCCAAAAAAATCAAATAAAAAGGGCAAAATTCAGGTTATATTAATGAAATACTTATGACTAAAAACTAAATATTATAACTATGGAACTAAAGATTTATTTACAAATCTACTGTGTAGTTAAATATACAGTATCATACAAATTCATGGTATTATACCTTCTGTGGTAGAATAACAAATCTTCTCCATTATACAATTGACCTTGGTCTAATAATATCACTAAGGAACCCGGAGGGAGATGTTTTTTATTACGTATGGCCTCCGTGTCATACGAACAATGTAGGGAATCATCAACCAAATTATTCTCCAGGTGTTGCGCTCCATTTATAAAGTTCAGGGCCCCCTCATGAGGAAACGATCAATACGTTCTATACTTGCCGCATCATATGTTGCCCTACATGATGGATTTCTAATAGTACCATCCCATCTCACGGTCGGCCTCAGTCCCAAACAGTAGTTTAGGACAGATCTTTCCCATTTCCTAAGCCTCTCCATCTGATTCGAAGATATAAGAAACCAGATGGGAAAGGCGTAGGAGATAACAGGTCTGACTACCTGTTTATAGATGAGTAGCTTTATATTTTTAGACAGGCCACCACTGTGTTTAAGGACACCTTGTTAGGCAAAGTATATATTCTTTGCTCGATCAAGTATGAAGTCAATATGTCTTATAAATTCAAACTTCTCGCATAAGATAACCCATAAATACCTCATCTTATCCCTTACCTGTATGGTTTCCTCTCCTAATTTTAAAACAGGGGAGCGAAAATTTGGATAAGTTACACGTGGTTTGCCTCGAAATACTACCGCTGTGCATTTTCCAACATTTAGCTTAAGGCCCCACATAGAGAAATATCTATGAAGGTCCTCGAGCCAAGCGTTAAGTCTGGATGCCAGAGAGCTAGCCCTCGGACCAGACATGGCTAGGAAGACGTCGTCAGCATAAAGACGAAGCAAGCCGCCCTCGGGGGGTTTAGGCATGTCGCTTACAAAAATATTGTAGAGCCTAGGTCCCAGGAGGGAACCCTGAGGAACGCCAGATTGGTCTTGTGGTCGAAAGATGATCACCAACCTTCATCTTAAAGCTCCTGTCTCGGAGAAAGCTCGCTACTAGCCTGCATGTAAGGGCATCGCATCTATACTGGTTTAATTTAAATAATATCCCGTCATGCCAAACAGAATCGGGTCTGAAGCCAAACTGACAGTCCTTTAGAATTCTTTGATCTTCAACCAATTACTTAAGCCTCTTGAGCACGAACGATTCATAGAGCTTACCAAGTGCTGATAGCATAGAAATGCGACGGTAGCTACCACATTTAAAAATTTGAAAAACATACATACATATACTGTTTGTTTTTCTTTCGCATACATTTTTTTCGGAAAATATAAACAGGTCCCGAATAAAAGAACACTGTCCAACAAAGTTAATTTTTTATCAAATATTATAGGAAAAATCCATCAGTAGTGGGATTCTCTTACTCATTTTTTAAGTTACCGAAAGAATTTAAAACCCAATTTTGACAAAAAAAAAAGAAGTTAAGATTGACAACATTGGTATCTATCGGTAGTTTTTAGCGACTACAAATTTCGTTAATTACCGAAATTATAAGCATTTGAATTTTATTGAATTTCGTCGATAACTCAAACCAGAAAGCAAAAGTCAAAAGTCGGGCGGGGCCGACTATATAATACCCTACGCCACTATGAATATTTAGTACAGCTCCCGTAACAAAATAATTTATTTGAAGTAAATCATACCACCTATCAACATTTGGCTTTAGAGCAGTTATAGTTTGCTATAGAGTGCATAATATCATTTCGAGAAGTACAATATTAAAAAATATATATTTCGGAGCCGAGTTCAACCAAATGCCGAAATTTACTCCATTTGGGCTGATATTAGCCATTATTTGCACAATAAACCTGAAATCAGATTAAGGATATATGTGGGAGCTGTATCCAAATCATATCTGTTCTCGATAAAATTTGGCAAAGGTATTTCCGAGCTTTATAAAATATCTGATATCTGATTGTTGTCAAATTCATATTTCTTCTAGACTGAATTCGGTCGAATGTACAAAAATTCAGGACTTTTGGACAGATATTGGCCATTGGCAACATATACAGGGTGAGATAAAGAAAAAAACTGCAACAAAGTCAAACGCCATAATTTTTACTTTTTATACCATCCACCATAATATGGAGGGTATATTAACTTTGTCATTCCGTTTGTAACTCCTCGAAATACTCATGTCAGACCCAACAAAGTATATATATTCTTGATCAGCGTAAAATTCTAAGTCGATTTACCCATGTCCGTCTGTCTGTCTGTTTTAATCACGCCATCTTTCGAACGAATTGAGATAGAAGGCTAAAATTTTGCAGACATGTATATTTTGCCAGTTGGCAGGGCTATGTAGGTTCACGTTTTCATATTGCCCCATTTAACAGTACCTTCAGATATTCAGTATTTTGATGATTTTAGCGACATTATTCACCGGAATTGTTTCAAATTTGGTATTTGAAGTTCGAAATGGATACTACAGCCTAAGATAGAACATTGTCTGTGCAGGTTCACGTCTTCGTATAGACCCCATATAACGGTACCTCTCGATATTCGGTATTTTGATGATTTTAGCGACATTATTCACGGGAATTGTTTCAAATTAAGTATTTGAGATTCGTAATGGATACTACAGCCTATGACAGAAAATTGTCTTTGCAGGTCCATGTCTTCGTATAGCCCCCATATAACGGTACCTCCCAAAATTCTGTATTTTGATGATTTTAGCGTCATTATTAAACGGAATTGTTTCAAATTACGTATTTAGAGTTCGTAATGGAAACTACAGTCTGTGACAGAAAATTGTCTATGCTGGTCTTCTTATAGGCCCCATATATCAGTACCTCCCTATATTCGATAGGTACAACACCCACCGAAATTGTTTGAGATGTCGTATTTGACGTTCGTAATGGATGCTATAGCCTGTGACAGAAAATTGTCTATGCTGGTCCAGGTCTTCGCACAGCTCCGATATAACGGTACCTCCCTATATACTATATTTTGATGATTTTAGCTACAATATTCACCGTTTATTTCAAGTTTCGAATTTAAATAAGGTAATGGCTTATGACAAACAAGGCCTATGTAGGTCCATGTCGAATAGACCCCAATATAACGGTTATATTCGGTATTTTCAAAATTTTAACAGAATTTTTTAAGGATTTTATTTTTTGAAAATTTCCAAATTCGTTCCAAATGGTGGAGGGTATTCAAAATTCGGCCCGGCCGAACTTACTGCTTTTTAACTTTGTTTTTAAATCTTATTGTATGGAAGCAAAAATTGTTGGAAATAGCATCAAATTTTAGAATAAGTTTAGATTTGTTCGGATTTGTCACCTTTGGCACGAATTATGGCCTTCAAACGGCCAATGAAACCGTGACACGCTGCCCGAATGTTGTTCGTGATATTTTGGCCCATTCCCGGCGAAGCGCTTGTTTGAGGTGATCGACACTTTGGTATTTTTTAGTGTCAACCTTGCTTTCCAAAATACTTCAGGCACAATAGTCCAACGGATTGGTATCCGGAGATTTTGGTGGCCATTGTGCGCTGGAAATGAAGCGACGAATCTCATTTTGTAAAAATGTTTGCGTGCCCACGGCTTTAATACACCTCCCACAATATTTTCGCAATAATATTCGCCATTTATTCTGATGCCACGGTCGATTAATACGAGCGGAGAGTGACCATCGGCTGTTATGGCGGCCCACACCATCACCATGGCCGGTGCTTGAGTTCTGGTGGCCAACCGAAGGTGCACATTTCAGCTGACCCCTTTGGCAAGTAAACACGATCATTTTGTTTGTTTACAAACTGCTGGACAAAGAATGTTTTCTCATGTTCTTGCACTTTTTGGAGTTTCAATGGCTTTACTCCGAGCTCATTTTTCAATATCTGCCGAATGGAATATTGGGATATATTCAGCTCACGAGCCATTTTTGGCCACTGCGACGCGGGTTTCGATCAAGTCGCTTCTTTTCTTCCGTCCACTTCCTTGACGTCGGGTATCACGTTAACGAGCGATGGTACGAGACACAAAAGATTTATTTACATTTAAATGCTGGAGTGCTCTATAGATAGCCACTTGTGGTTTTCCGGCCAAATATAAAGAAATCACACTATCACGCTTGAATTCCATCTCGAATAACTTTTTTCTGGAAAATTCTTACCAAAATGCCTTTGTACGCTTGTAAACAATATAATGAGTTGTCACTGGAATAATTTTAGCAGCTATCGAATGAGTAGCTTGGAAATGACAGCAGTCTGAAGTTGGTTGCAGATTGACTGGGCTCGGAAAGTTAAGGTATTAAGCTTATTCAGGTACCATTTGGAACGGATAGAGCTAAAATATTGAAAGTTGGTATGAGATTCAAGGTTGGAAAGTGGTAAATGAAGGTGGTTGTAGACTTGTGTCCGATGCTAAATTTGGAACAGTTTGGTTTAGAGGGAACGAATGAAGCTGGAATTTCTCAATGTTGTATTTGGGGTAGGTTTGTGA